CACCAACCTGGTCATACTGACGCTTGGCCGTGGTCGTGGTGGTGGTGGTGGTGGTGGTGGGTGGTGGTGGTGGTGGTGGTGGTGGTGGTGGCGGCGGCGGCGGCGGTGGTGGCGGCGGCGGCGGTGGTGGCGGCGGCGGCGGTGGTGGCGGTGGTGGCGGTGGTGGTGGAGGTGGTGGAGGTGGTGATTGTTGTTGAGGTGTTTGTTGTTGTGGTGGTTCTGGTGGTTGTTGTGGATTTTGTGGTTGTTGGTTGCTGGTTGTTGGTAGTGGTTGTTCTTGTTTTTGTTCTTGTTGTTGCTGTTTCTGTTGCTGTTGCTGTCGCTGTTGTAGCCGCAGCAGCATCTGCAGCGGCAACAGTAGTAGCAACAGTAGTTACAGTAGGAGTAGCCGTCGTCTTCCTTGTAGTAGTCGGGCACATGCTTGTGCAGCGTGAAATCCACATTGATTGGCTTCGAGCCACTGGAACTAGTCAGTGCTCCCTTCAGATTAAGAAAGGTCCCCGCCCACCCTCGAAGGATGTGAGCCCCAGCCTCTGTAATAAGAGTCCGGATCCAACCTCAGAACCACTCATCACCGTCATGAGTCCAGCTTGTGCTTCTGCAGCGTTTGTGGATTTGCAGCTAGAAGTGTCACAGCCCTGCTTGGAGCCGAGCCCTTAAAGCCGCTTCAGTTCCTTCGAGCTCTCGTGTATTTTCGTGTATACAAGCAAGATTCTGGTTTCATTTTTTCAGCTCATTCTGCAAAACCGGGGGGAGGTTTCGAATTACGTTCTGGGAATTGGATTGTGCAATTACGCGGGGGTTCTAAATATGAGGTTGACATTAACCAATAGTAAAGCACTGCCTACGAACTATGCTTTTGCAGTCAGAACTACCGCTGTCGTCTTCACCATCACCAGTACAGAAATAGGGGTTTGGCATTACGATGCCTAGCACCTAGGGACGAATGTGCTTAACATTGACTGACTTCTCGTTTGCAGTAGTTTAGCAAACCCTTAGTATTTTTGCAAACGACTTGTCCCATCCTGCCAGCTTGAGCAAGGCGAGCTGTGTGAGCAGATTGCCCAGGAGGTTGCTCAGCTGCGGAAGCAAACGCAAGAGGGCGGGCAGCGTGAGCTTTACAGGGCCTCGGATTTGGGGGCTCCAGTGCCGATGGGGATCGTTTCGGCGGTTGAGCGGTTGAAACCAGTGCGAGGCTCCGAGGTGGGGACAATAATCCGTAAAAAGGCACACTGTACCCCCAGACCTATATTCAACGAGAGGTGGGGGGATCCCACAGTCGGACTTTCGGGAAAACGCTAACCGAAGGCCAAGCGGCTGACGTTCAGAAGCTTCGCCCGTGTGGCTGCCATTTATGGAGGCCGTGAACACGGCACTGGGCTTGGAGTTTCCGGAGTTCTCGAGTTGTTTTTCGGACTCGGTCGGGTGCGTTACAAATGCCGACTTCGTGTGTGCGCTTCTCGCCTGTATAGCGGCCAAATCAGCCGACGATACCTGAAGTCTGACCAGGCCTCGTCCGTAAGCGCTTGCTTCACACGGTTCACGAGGGAAGTGTGCTGAAGATACACGACTGAAGCGGAAATCCTAATGCCATCAGCTTGAAATAGGCGCCGATGCCCTCCAGCAGCTGCGGGACATAGCGGGCGGTGTGGCCGCCCGACTTCAGGGAGAGACCTAAGGGGCACCGACCTTCCGGCTGCCACACGATTTGGGCGGCGAAAACCTGCGAGACGCCGTGGATCCTCATGCTGTGAAGACGTGCATATGCTAATGCTAGTGAGTGCCGTGCTTGGAAGAAGCTGTCGAAAGAATGGATCAAATCCACGTCATTCCTTAGAACAGGCGTGACATAGAACTCCTCCGTGAGCTTCCTCAGCTCCCATTCTCGGGTCTCGCTTGCAGGAGATTGTCGTTTGTTCACCGGGGCGCATGGACGACTTCCTGCAGCGTGGCGCGACTCTGCCTGAAACATTCTCGCTTGCGATGTTCGCAACAACCACTACACTTCCTGCTGTTCTCGAGCCAGGACAGAGAATATCCTTCAGGTCTTAAGCAACACATCGTATAGCGCGATGGGCACTTTTTTTCGCGGTGCCACATGTTGAGAGGGGGAGGGGCGAGCACGGATTGCGTTTGGAGCTGTCTTGCGCGCACATCAGAGTAGGTGGACTTAGACATGCTTGTTTTGCATCCACAGTTGCAGGAAATCAGGCACGGATTGCGTTTGGAGCTGTCTTGCGCGCACATCAGAGTAGGTGGACTTAGACATGCTTGTTTTGCATCCACAGTTGCAGGAAATCAGACATGCCAGGGTCAATCTTCCGTAAAGTAGGACCAGGCAGGGGCGTTGTACAGGTGCTGTCGGCAGCAAGTTTTCGACTGGCGCTTGCCTAGTCGGGCCTAGTCGCTGTCGGCAGCAAGTTTTCGACTGATTCTTGTCTAGTCTGCGAAGCTGTGCCAGGTCGTCAGCATGGAGGAAGTGAAGTGGCCGAACTGCATGCAGTCCATAAGTTGCCTTCAGAATACCAGTCACAGCAAGTCCGAGAAGCCTAAGCACCCAATTGCTAACAGGATGCCCTGACCTCCTCATATAGCCGGTTCAAGGATCGAGTGCTAAGTTTTGGGATGTCTTTGCACGTACCGTTCCGTAATTGGATCTTGGTGCAACTTCGTGAAGCAGGCAGTTCCGGGACATACAATTGTGCTCGAATTGCCAGAAGAAGCCAGTTGTTTACGTGCAGGTTCCTGGTGGTAGATGAAGCAGACAGAATGTTGGACATGGGCTTTGAGCCGCAGATTCGCCGCTGGGTCAATCAAGTTCTCGTGGAGCTTCCTGCTGAGGGAAGCGTGACGATCATAGAAGAAATTCGACTTCATGCGACTAGGAACAGGGAAACCTTTCGCAGCTAGGAGGACCGGGTGGCAAACCGCGGCCTCATCTTGACCTCAAAGAATGTTGGAGAGGTGGAATCGAAGCACAAACGAGCAGAAGTGTTGACTCACAAGCCGGAATCGCTTCGCACCTGAGGAAACATTATTGAAAACTATGGCATGCCAGAGCCCGGCGAGGCACTCCGAGGAGTCTCAAGACACAAACAGACAAGAATCATGTCGTTATGGTGCCCTCCCCTCCCGCTGCTAGAATCAAAGCGCCTTTGGACTCTCCAATCACAGGCCCGTAAGCAAGCAATCTTCACAAGCCAGCCCTACGAGCACACTCCGTGGATGGTGAAGACCTACCAGTAAATCTGCGGTGACGGGCACAGCAAAGCAAAGGAAGCAACGACCCCAAGCAGCTCCCGCTCCAAGCTCCTTCGGAGGGCGGGCGCCAGACAATGATGTTCTCGGCCACATTCCCTCAGGCTCGGCATGAGTCTGCTTTGGGTATTCGTGTGATCATGCTCGCCAAAGCTCGGAGGGAGGAGTTCTCGCCTACAGGAGATGCAAGACATGGCCTTGGACTTCCTCGATCCAGCCTACTACGGTATTAAGGTTGGCCAGGCGGGAGACTCTTCGCGGTCGCACTGTTCCTTTCTGTTTCATTGGTGAGACTACATATGTGGAGGCGTGGACGTTGCCGTGTCGGCACGTTTTGGCTCTTGGTATTGGCGGTGGTTTTGCAGTCGACAATGTACATCACATTTCCCTGACTGTAGCCTGTTCCTGACAGAGCTGGCAACAGCTGAGAGTCTAGATTCCGCTCAAGGATCCCTGCATTTGGAGAACTGAGTTGAAACATTGGGTTGAAACCAGCTGCGAGTCTAGGTTGCAGACCAGCTCCCTGTTGCGGTGTTCCCGGTCGGAACCTGACAGACGGCCTTCAAACATCCCACAAAATCTCCTAGGTAGCCAGCGACCCGAAAAGCTAAGCAGGTGGGCCACGCAGCGACGGATGTGGAGCAGTGCTTCGAACAGGCCTGGGGCCGAGATGTGAAATCTGCCAAGAAACTGCGAGCCTCGTGGGAGTTGCCCGCAGCACGAAATTCACCTTCGGCCGTTTTTGCTGCTGGCCGCAGCGCAAGACTGCAGAAGAAGCCGACAAATCGAGTCAGGTCAACTTCCGGGAGAAGAACGACAGGCTGCTGGATTTAATTGCTGAGGCTGGGCCACCTTCGTGGCGAAAGGGCCATGGCTCGATTTCAAGAAGTCGTTGTCCTTTCCGCACAGGCGAGCAGCGAGAATGGCGAGCAGGGAAAAACGCTCGTGTTTGCAAACACGAAGGCCATGTGGGGTAGAGAGGAGTGCCTGGCGTAGACTCGTCGTCAGCAAAGCTTTGAAGCGCCCCGTCCAGAACACCGTTGACGACATTGTTTGGGTCTTGAACGATAGCGGCATCAAGGCGGAGCCCATACATGGAGGCAGAAAGGGCTGAACACTAACATGTTGCCATGTGCCAACGAGTCCAAAAAAGTTTGGGCATTCTGGAGACAAGGGAGATCCCTTGAGCCTGTCTTTTTGCAGGACTCTCACAGAGTGCCAGAAGTCGAAATCTGACTCTGCTCAAGAAGGGCATACTCAATGTTCTTGTTGCAACTTGGCAGATCTTCATGGGTTTTCAGGGCGCACCCCCGTTCTGTTGTGGACGGCCAGGCTACCGACGTCGCGGCACGAGGACTTGATCTGCCTGGGATCGAGCACGTGATCAACTACGATCTGCCACAAGACGGTGGGCGGGAACGCGAGTTGGAGGGGTATCATGACTCATAGACTCATAGGCCAATGCCGAAACCAGCCGAAAGTTGCAGTGAGAGGCCAGTCAGAGCTGTCTTGTCTCGGCTTGAGAACGCTGAGATTGTCAGGCGACACCTACGTCCATCGCATCGGGCGGACAGTGGGCTTGAAAGCATTCCACAGCACGTCCGATTCCTTTTGCCTTTTGAGCACCGCATTCAGTGACGGACACTGCGATGTGATTGCACCTCTCCGTCCGCATCAGCTTGATGGCCGAGTCATGTCTAAGAGATTCTCAGAGAGGGTGGTGATCAGCAACGGGCAGGACCGGGCGCATCGGCAACAAGGGCCGGGCCACATCTTTCGTGTCGAATTGTGCCGCGACGGCACAAGATAATGACACGTGTTTTGGCACGTTCTCACCAGTCGTGAGAGGGGCCACTGCACAGATGGATCACGCATGCAAACTCAATTTGTTCGAGTTGAAAGTGGCAGTCCCTTTTCTTGCCAGACGACAGCGCGTCCAATCTGAAGATGATTGTCCGGCACATGAAGGATGCGAAGAAGGTCCGGCGAGTGGGGTCTTGGGCTTGGGCTCGGCCCAGGCCTTGTTCAACTTGACGCCGTGACTTGCAAGCATCGTCATGTGCAGCAAAACGAACTGCGCAGGACGACCCAGATGCCTCTGACGTGCCGGAGTGGCTAGAGGATACTCTGAAAGATTACACACACACACATGGCGCATCATGGCGCCATGCTTTGGCATAGTTCGGGTTCTGCACTTTGAATTGCGCACACGGGACCTGAGGAGTTGTCAGTGAACCGTCCAGGGGGCAAAGGCGGAGGAAGAGGACGATACTAGCCGGCTGCAGCTGCCATCTTCGGGTTCACAGCATCTCGCTAAATTCAGGATGCAGGCGTTCTGAGTCTGACATCAGCAAAATTGTTGCTTGATTAAATTGTTAACGCTTCGCGTCGTCCGCCTCGGCCTGGGTGCAAGTGAAGAGGGCCGACGAATTGCTCGGCTTTCTTCAACCCCGAGTCATTTGAAGGAGGGGGGGAGGGGAGAGAGGTCTTCACCACCTGGCCCTAGAGCCAGTGAATGGGTCAGAGGAAGGAAGGAGGTGGGCGGGTCCGGCGGAGGTCTACTGGGGATCCCTGTAACTCCGACCACTTCGGTCGGGCCCGAGGCGAAAGTACGTAAGGGGCTTCCATGCCAGAATGTTTGGAGTGCACGGGTTGCGGAGCCTGCGCCACAGGCATCAGACCGGACCGCGTGAGCTCTTCGATGACAGAGGCCAGCAACTTGGCAATGGCCCGAGCAGAGCGAAGCTCCGTGGGCAGTGCGAGGCAAGTTTTGAGAGTGGTTCTCGAGTTCTCGGACGGTGAGGAAGACTGTAGCGATGCGTTGAATCTGGAGAAGCGTATTCATCGAGCTGTCTTTTGTAGCAAGTACTGTGCACATCAGAACAGACCTCAATAAACCTCATGACGACTCTTCCGCCCTGTCTGTGCAGTCTTGAGCTGAGACGTAGCCAAGCCAACAATTTCTGAGTGTGCGAACCTGATTTTGTTCGAACGGCGGTCAGCAGTGTGGCTGCTTAACTGGCAGCGGCTCCATAGTTGTGGTACGACAGCGTCAGCATTAGACAGCTGTAGGGGTGCTAAGCGGGAGGGACCTGCTGGGTAAAGGGCCGTCGCTTCTCATCTCGAAGACTTGGGATCTCGGCCAGAGACCATGTCCGGCAGCTTTCGCCGCCAATTTCGTCGCCCGTGTCTTGCGGAAACCAAACATTCCGAAGCAGATGTTGCAATGGATGGATTGGGGCTTCTGCCAAGTACAAGCAGGGCAATCTCTCCTTGAGTAAACACATCTTGATTACCGTTTCAAGTAGATCTTGAGCTGCTGCATATTCTAGTATCTTTTTTAAATTCCAATTCCGCTTCGTTGCAAGGTCGTGTTGCAAGGCTCCTGGTGATGATCACTCGGTGTTGGATTTAGACGTACACTTCAGCTATGAATTTGCTGTAAAGGACTCTGGAAGAAGCTGAGAGGCATAGAGAGAGCGAGCGAGAGACAGAGAG